TTTTATGACTTTCTCTACGGGCTAAGTAAACTGCTAAGCAATATATTAATGTGTTTTACTTTCGATGGATGTTAAAGAGAAAATTTCTTAAGTAGAGATCAGAAGGGCATAAAAAAAATGATTTTTATTTAATGATTAACAATAATAATTTATACAATTTTCCTAATCACTACTTTTTCTTTTTTTAATATAAACAGAAAATCTTTTGTTTTCTCTGTTAAAGTTTGTTTTTAAGTAAGTTAATAAATATTAAAAAAAAAAAATAAAGATAAGTTCTAGCATTTCTGACTATGACATTTCATGTGCTTCGGGCTAACCAAATCTTTCTCTAACATTATTATCTTAAACAAAAAACAAACTAAAGTTTACATATCAAATTTGATTGCATCCCTCGAGCCATCACTTTCGCTTCTTGGGTCACGTTCTTCTCGGATTCTGTCCCATCTTCGCGTGGCCTTCAATGCTGGAAATTATCATTTCAGACCCATCCCACACACACCTCAAGTTATATACACTTTCCTTCCAGCTTATGGCGCCGTTTATCTGGCGGGTCTGGATGGCAATAAGAAAAAAAGTGAGACGACCAGGGAGAAAAATTGGGTTATGCCTTCGTTCAAGAAAAGTGAAATTAGCATAAAGTTCTTTCTTTCTCCTTCACTTTTGTGTACTTTTTTAAAATATTTTTTTTATTTGCTGTTGAAGCTTCTGCTGGGTTAACTTTTTGCAACGTTGTTTGCCGTCTTTTTGCATTTTGTTTGTAATATCTTGGGTGTCGTACTCGCCATTGTTGTTGGTGCTTTTGGCCAATCAACTGAATGGCAACCGCTTAGGACATTAGTTTTTTTTTCCTTAAAGTTTTTTGGGTGGCATTGTCTAATTTCGCATTAAAATATGTAAATATTTATGGGAAAGGTAGCTGTGGAAGCTCTCAGAAAGTGTTATTGAAAAGGTCGTTTAGAAGACAAGTTGGAAAAGTTGGAAAGAGTTTAATGCGGTCTTAAGTGAGGTAATTTGTTTATGCTATGGCCTTTGCGTTTGGTTACTAATTACAAATATTGCATAAATTTGTAAGAATTTGAAGAGGGTGATCGGAAACTTATAAAGTTTTTGAAAATTACCTTACGTTTATATCAACTTCCTTTGAAGGCAGACTTTATTACTAACTGATTTAATTAACATTACTTTTAAAATGTAATATTAATGTTAATTCATGAATTTTTGGAATATTTTATGTGTGTTAATGAGGATCACAATTTTCATTGAATTATTAATAATAATAATTCCATTTCAATCTCACTCCCAAGCTTGAGGGCTTTAAACTGAAAATACCAACATTAACACAGAGAAATATGCATTTTAAAATGTTGTCTTGGAAAATATAAATTCCCTACGAATTGTTAATGTCCAACAGACGGACACACAATCAAAATTATTCCGTGTAATTTATTAATGTCATGTGCGGCCCAATTTGTTTCATGGAGCATGTAAAATGGATTTAACGCCCTGATAAGGCTTAAACATTGGAGAGGTCAGTGAGAGATAAGGGCAGGAATATAAAGGACATGAACAAGGATCGAATAACACCACTCACACACACAACTATAGATGTTGGGGGACTAATTAAATCTGACCTCCTTCTTCTTGACATGTGATGTTCGACGTGCAGATGAAATATAGAATGGAAACTAAAAACGTGAATTAATAAAGTGAATATTTCAGTGTTCAAATATAAAAATACTCATAAAATCTATTGCTGTTTTTGTGTCTACATTTCTTTATGATTAATGTTGTTAATATATCGCATATAAAATAGTTATACTGTACGAGATCTGAGCTTACAATCACAGGCATGTAATTAAGTGATGACATATTTGCTTACATTCAAGGAGTGTATTTTGAAATGCACGAGCCAGCCATCAATCAGGCCTAATTGAAACAGGGCACTTTGCTACGCCACTCACGTTCAATATCAATTAATGCCACAATGAACCTATCAATTTTTAATTACCCACACGGATTGGCAAACAAAACATTTTGATCGAATGTTAAACGAATTAATTATTTATTGCTAACATTTTTTTTTCTCTCCCTCGTTTTGCTTGGTGAAAAAAATAAATAAAGAAAAATACTCTTGGACTCTCTCCACTTTGGCCTCCAATCTAATGTCGAAATGGATTCCTTGCGAACTTTCTTGAAGGACTCCAGGACGCAGAGCCAAGCTCGAGCCAATTGCCAAGTTAAATTCTAAACAAATTTAATTGAAAAACTTTTACGTTTCTTGCTATGGCAATGGTCAGATTTTTACCAGAGGACCAGCGAGTCCTGGGAATCTTGGAGTACCACGAAAGGATACAAGTGCATATGCAGTTGTTGGTCCTTGCAGTCGCAGTTGCAGTTTCTGTTATTATTATTATTATTTCTCCTTTTTGCATCTTAGCTTGCTTGTCGCGATTCACTTGAGACCCGTTTAGCATTTAGTTTCCTGGCTTCTTGTGCTGTTGCTGGCCATCCCTTGGCCATTTTTTTTCTTATTTAATTATTTTCTAGATGTTTTCGGCCAAAAGTCACCAACGAGCTGCGAAAAGTTTTCGGTTGTTGCCAAAATTGAAATTATAACTTTTGACTACTTTCTGTTGCTTGGCGGCTCACACCGGGTGATAGTTGGAGGAGTTTTTGGTTTGGTTTATCTGGGGAGAGGAAGTATTGTGGGGCTGCCACATTGAAGCCTAATATTAAGCATATTTTAGTGTCTATCTATTAAGTGTCTATCTATTACAGATATAGATATCGGGGATGTAAGTCCTAGATTTATTTATAATATATATATCTTGACCTTGCCATATAATCACATGTCATCTGTATTTTAAATTGAAATTCATAAATTAAAAATCATTTAATTCTAATAACGAAGAATTCGCTTATCAATATGTTTCCAAGAATAACTATTTTACTATCAATAACATTTGCATTTTTCTCCCACGTCGATGATTACATTAATTACAAGCCCCCTTTTTACGTTACACGGGGATATTGATAACTCAGCGATTTTCATGGATTGAGCATACGTATAGCTGATAATCCCAATATGACAACACAGCAGATTTTCAGATTGAAATCAGCTATAAATACAGAAGTATGGAGTGCAGCAATTATAAGTTTCAATCGATCAGTTCGAGGAGTAACATCACTGTCTAAGATGAATTCCGCACTGCAAATTAGGTAAGCTATGACAAAATTGTGAGTCAAAGCCAAAAAATGAAATATTTAATATTTGTAGCTGCCTTCTGGTTGTCGTTGGATGTCTCCTGGGCACAGGACACTGCCAAGGTGACGATGAATTCGTGACTAAGGGTCGTGGACTCATCGCGGTGTTTGGCAATCCTCCGGCTGACACATCCACTAGGGCCCGCAATGTGCCTGCATTTGTAGACTACTATGAGAAATACTCTAATAAGCTGGATCTAACAACTGAGGAACGACATAATGCTGATAATTTTGTGAGGAGGTATAAGGATCAAACATCCCAGAAAGTCGACGGTGTTTCGGCCCAAGGAGGATTCTGGTTGCCCTTTTTGGCTCCCATTGCTGCTGAGGTTGTGATAGCAGTCGGCAAGGCGATTGCTTCTGCATAACCATTTTCTAACTACTTGGAACATTTAAATGAAGATATTTAAATAAAAAAGGTTATTCAAGTGAAAGTTGTTATAAAATGTAAAAGCTTAATAAAAAAAACGGGTTTTCATTAGATCAGAAGTACAATTTACTTAATTTTTTGGAAGAAATAATAATATAAATCTTAAACTTTCAAGGAAACTCTTTTTTTTTCAAGATCATTGTACGTAAATACATTCACATACATTTAAAAAATGTTCAGATTTGATTTAAAACATTTAAATTAGTTAAAAACACAGTCGCACAAACCAACCATTATCTTAGCTGTTTGTCTTTTTTTATAACTTCAAAACTTAAAAACTGTGCATTTCGTAAAAGAAAAGTTTACCTTGCAGTTGATTTTATCCGTTTAGTTAAGGGAAAAGTTCGAATTTGTTTTTCTTTTAAGACTTTCCACACAGTTATTTTCAATCAAAGGCCACTTGCAGTCAGACGGATAGTTCCGATATGGAAATGGAGAAGAATCGTGGCTATTCAGCTATGAAATGTCCTTAACTTGCCTCGGCTGTCTTTGTGTGGATTGCTGCTTAGGATACACACGAGTATGCATTATATATATATGTCTCGGTTTTAAGCTGCTATAGATTTATATGAAGATTCAAGGATCGACTGCTTCCTCTTGCAAGAACCTGTGTGTGTGTGTGCGTGCATCTGTGTGAGCATGACATTCGTCGGCTGCAAGTGGCTTCTTCTGTGGGGAAACGAGCAAACTTGCATACGCCTTGCACACGAACTGCTGACGACCAAGTTATGTCCTTGCTGTAATACATAGCCATTGCACATTACAGTGGAGCCTAAAGGTTAACGGAATATTCCACTTTAAATGTGTTTATTTAATAGTAGGCTAGTTTTACAGGCAAACCCTAGAGAAAACCCGAAACAAATCCTGAAAATTCGACATATCTTAAAATGCAATTTCCTGGGTTCCGAAAACGACATTTGACATATATGAAGTACACCGGTAATTTCTATGTACTCATATATACATGCTCCTTCTGTTGTATGTGCGCATTATTTTTTTTGGATTTATTTTAATTTCCACTTGTGAGTGTTGACTTGAATTTCTGCCATCCTGCTGTCAGCAAGCTCACAGACACAAGGACAAAGGGACAGAAGGACCGACTCATCTATATATGGTGTGTCTCATGCATCTCAGTTTCCAAAGAGTGTGGAAAATGCACATCGGTTTTGGTTTCAGTCTGAGTTTTCTCCGTCTCTGTCCGTATCTGCTATTGGGTGGCATCCTGATGTTGGGGTTTTCGCATCCTTTAGTTTTTTATTGGACCTGTGCCCCACTTTGTCCCTGACTGGCAACTTTTTGTTTCGCCTTAAGATCCGTCTTTCCGATGCTGCTGCTGCTGCTGCTGCACCAGCTCCTGGTGTCCTTTTTACAGTTTGTCGCATTGTACGGAAGTGTGCGGCACTTGAGAACTACTTTTACTTTTGTGTATACGCAATATGGTAGGCTGCACCTCGATTCCCCTTTGGAATTTCCTTAAAGCTCGCATTTCTGGTATTTGCAAACGAGTTTTTGGCTTTAGTCCTTCGTATATCGGTGCTCTTGGTGTAACACCTTGAGCAAAAGCCTTGTCTGTCATCAGATATCTGCTTCGTTATCCGTTCGAGTCGTTATTTTGCCTTGCATGTCCTTGCCATTTTCACATGTGGTTCCTATTAATAAACAAAGCACATCGCAATCTAGGGAAATGAGCATAATGGATGACAATAACAGATGGAGACAATCTTCTCAGCATTCTGGACAAACTTATTTGAATAAAATAATATATTTGTATAGATTAATAAGAAGTAAGAGGTAGTGGCACAAAATTAGATGCTACTTCTTGCTACTTCTTCTCTTAATCTTATTGTCTTTATTTGTTGTACTTACATTATTAATATTAATATTTTCAAAAGACAGTTCCAAGTTCTTTGTGAACTAAGGAAAGGTAAAAAGCTATTCAGGTGTGTCCCTGGCGGGACATTAATAACACGTGACTTCCAGTTTTTAATTGGCCATTTCTAATTGGACCCACCAGTTCTCGAACGTCTAATGGCTTGGGCTTGCCTCTGTCATAATGCCCACAATATTGCTACAAATGATAATAGACCCATAACGATAAAGTTGTCGAGACAGAAATATTTGTTTTCTACAAAGTAGAACAAAAAACTCAGCGAAAGTAGAGCTCAGAGGAGCTGAAATCCAAAGGGGAAGTCATAAAAAGTTTAACACCGCGCAAACGCCATGTTGCCTTGTTTTTATTTCTTATTTTTTCGAAATTTTCTTTTATGTAGAAATTTGCTTTTGTTTTTTGCCCTTCGTTAACTTCTCTCTTGCTTTTTGTGTGTGGGCCGTAAAAAGTTGTAAAGGCCAACTATTTATTGCCCGAAAATGTCCATCAAAGTGACGTTAAAATTTTATTTTAACTTTGTGTTTATTATTATTTTTGGTTTGTTAATTTTTAACTTTATACTCGGTTATTTTTAAAGGGAACACTTATTTTTAAATATATATATAATCAAGTAAAGGTTATAGTGCCTGTTCCTTTGGCTAGAAATCAGATATCTGAACATATATAGAACACATATTTATATAGTAGCGCCACAGCGAAAGTGAATTTAAACTCTTAATAGGTCAAAAAATGACTAGCACAAAATGCAATTGACAAGTTAAAGAAGTAAAAAATCGTTAAAATCGCGTGACGAATGCAATGGATTCCCTTTCATAGATTTTTAATGGACCTTTAAGCCGGAAAAGTCGAATGACCCAACGCGATGGTCAACATGCTATAAGCGGCCGACAAAACACTTTACTAAACCCGTTCCAAAGCTGCCACCAGACACGGATTTGAGTTCCCCCATCCTCGGGGTTTTACTCTGACACATTATCAAGGTTTTAAGTGCTCAATAAAAAAAAAGGTGGCGGCTTTACTAGGGAAAACGACGAATTTAGTATGCGTTAGTGGCTGTTATTTACCTGGAGAGCTTTATCTAATTAGGCATACTTCGTTTGAGTGCTTTTACAGAGAGAATTAGAATGATCTGAGTGTTAAAATCCTTGAATTTAAGTTAATATTGTAGCCATAAAATCACCTCTTCAAAGAAAGCTCTGTTGGCCCTTTCGTTGACCTTTACGGCACAGATTGTCAACTAATTAAGGGTCACCATGTGCAAAAACGCCAAACAAAACTGAGACCTTGTTTGCCTCGCCGTTTTTAATTAAATTGCTTACTTATTTTTTGGTTGTACCACTTTTGGCCTGGCCTAGCTCGGACTTTGTGGTAAAATTTACTACGTAATTTCCCCACAGGAGACATGAAGACTCCTTACTCACCGGCGCTGTGCTGCAGCGCACTTGAATTTTAATAGGAACTGCAGCAGCCAGGAAAATTCCGAGATTGAAAGGGGCGGCCGGGTGTTGTCCAAAATGTATAAGTGTGCGTGTGTGTATATTGCCATTATGTCATAACTCATGGCTGCGCCTGCAGGTATGCAATGCTTTGCAGTTTTTCGCTGTTCAAAAATAAGAAACTAAAAGAAGCTTGAAGGTAAAAAAGACAAGCGTAGTGCAATGGCAAGTGAAGTCAATGGAATATATGCCTTTTCTATATATTCCTTATTAGACCTTATGGCATATTATTATTACCTATGATACAAACTTAGAACTGCATTCGATTGGAAGGAAACAACAGAGTTTCCATTCTGATTTTTCTTTAACTGATTTTTAGACATCTAACTCAACAATCAACTTTAAACATTATTTTTCAATATTAATATATAATAATTTTTCGTTATTATTGACATTCAACATCTTTAACGTCAAAGGGCAACCACATTGAAACACTGTAGGGTTGAAAAGGAAGGAAATTATTTCAACAAGTTACAAATTTTCGTAGTACGTGCCAGTTTCTGTTCGGTCCAGCCCACATTGTTATGTTTGTCGCGTAGATCTGATCAATGACCTGAGAGCAATCCACAGCCACATCCACACACCCACGTCTTGGTCTTCCACTGCCACCGAGCTGTATGTCCCATTAGATTTCAATAGGTTCTGGCTTACGGCGCTTTTACTGCGTGTTCTTTCGTCTTTTTTTTTTACAAACCACTGCCGGAAATTGTGACAAATTGATTGAACTAAATGGTAAAAATATCTGCCATCAAATTGCCTGTGACAATGAGAGTGCTTGGCCATCGAAATGAACTGAAAATCGAGATGGATGAACGAGGGTTTGTGGATGGTTGGACATGTCAGCTAGTTGATTCCTGTGCTAACAATTTCCAGGCAGTAACAGAAACAGAAACTCACGCACTTCGAGCTAGACATGTTTTATATGTCAGTCTCAAGTGTTCTGTGCCAGACGACAGGCTTCAAACGGGCTTCGACATTCATTCCAGGCTTCTTGTTTTCGTACTACGAGTGTATGACGTAATGGAGGAAGAACTCGAAAGATAATCAAAGTAACTCGTAAAGGGATAGGAGTATTGGGTTTAAGGATATAGAACAATATTGAAAGCATGATAAATGATGTAATTTTAAACCTAAACTTGTAACCATAACATGATTTTAAATCATTATTTAAAGTATAAAACTAGTATTAGCATTGCTACTGATTCATTGGCTTACCCTCAACCTTACAAAGCCAAATTCATTCTTAAGTTGAACCCATTTCAACCTTTTTTCTACCCAAACTTAGGCCCAAACTGAAACCTGCTACTGACAATTATGGCCAACCGTTTGCTTTTGGCCAGAAAATGCCACCAAGCAAGTGTCAAAAGCAAAGGCAAAGAAAACTTTCTGAAACGAAGATTGATTTTACTTTGGGACAGCTTTGTCCACTCTTGAAATGCATTTTTGTTCGCCCTCCCCAGTTTTGGCAATTAATCAAAGTACCAAATAGGTTTGTTCCTGTTGTTTGCATTCAGTTTGATTAATTGGATTTCATTGCCAATGAAATTGGAGGTTAATTAATTGGTCTCGAATAAGTTTTCACCAGTTGAGTATAAGAGTAAATTGGCAAGGAATTAGTTTTCATCTTAAGTAAGTAATTTTTGTTAACTGGCTCTGTAATATTTATATCTTATGCTTAGACAAAAACTAACAAGCATTCGAATTTGTTTTTTAAACCAACTGAATAGGTCACATGGTCAATTGTCACACAATAAGACCCAAATCAATTGGGTCACCTTGTCGAACTTTTGCCATAATTCAGTTGCAGAGAACCGCAAAATTCTTAGACTTTGATGCTCTGTGGGCTTGCCTTGGAGTGGATTTATTGTTTCGAGTGGCAAATACAAATATCCGCAGCTATCACCCACATCAATCCTGGCCGCACGTCGTCGACTCCTGTCATCCGCAATATCCTTCTTGTTAACAATAGGTCAGGACCTAAGATTTTGGGTTGCAACTAAATGGATGGATGGGACCATCGCCGCACACTTTGTCACTTCAATTTCGATAGGTCGAGATATTCCTTATTGTTGTTAATGCTTCTGCTGACACAGCCATATACGGTTGGGTATGCTATATGTGAATTGAGAACTCGAACTGTCCCAGTTGCTCCAGCTCCATTTCATCTGCCGGCGCGGTTTTTGCGGCCCAGCCGAAGACAATATGTGGCAAGAGCCTTTGTCTTTAACTTGGTCGCTTCTTGCCGCTTTCTTGTTTGCTTTTTCCCTTGTTGTTTTTTGTGCCTTATTGTCTTGCCATGATTTCAGCCAGGACCAAGTTCTATGGACGACAGGCAACTTTGTTTGCGGGTTTCCAAGAGATTGGCCTTTAAAGCTTGAGCTGAATTCGAAAGACTTTAGATTGCATTTCTTGGCTTTGGAATTTATAACAATTTTTATCTTAACTTTTGCTGGTTTTCTAATTTTTTACTGTAAAATAGAACAGTGACACAGCGTAGGAGAAGACCATAAAATAAATAATATAAATTTGCAATGCGTAATATTCTCTTTCATTTCCTATACCCATAAACTCATTTTTAATCTGAAAGTTTGCCAAGGGACTTAAACATCTTAAAAATTTCATAATTTGTCATGTCATTAAAGCAGCTCCTCCCATTCCCATTCCCGTTTCCATTGCCTTTCCCATTTCTATTTCCACATCCAACTGCAATGCAGCAGGAAGGACATTTGTGTCACTCGTAAATTTCCAATGCCGGCAACAAGCCGCCAGCATTCTCATTCACATTTTATACTTTATTTCCCTTTCTTCAATTTTTTTGAATTTTTTTTTTTTGGTTCTACTTCCTTTGCTCTCAATTCCCAATGTTGCCAAAGTGGCAGTCATTGGCTTTTGCAGTGGCTTCCCGATTTTGGGATAGTGCTTAAAAATTTGGAGATTTACTGCGACCAGAGAACTAGAGCCCCGAAAAAACCGCACGCGCCATAGAATTTATGTGAATGCCGAAACTTGACATTTCTCTGGCGCCACAGCCAAGGACAAAGGAGATGTCGTCATTTCTATTCTGACTACGCATAATGAGGAGTAATTTCTAGAGCGTGAGAACATCTTGCAATATTCTATAATATTTCTCATTCTAGTTATTATTGAAAAACTTCCAATAGAATTTAAGAGTCATGGCTTCGATTTTTTCTCACTTTCAAAGACATTTTGAAGGAAAATTACAATTTATCTTAAGCCAAGCCAGGTTACTCCTCCTACCTTAACTATTTTCAATTACCAACCCAATCTAATTAAAGCTCATTTATGGAGATTTCTTATTAATTGAGCCAAGAACCGAACAGGGCATTGTGTTGATTTATGCGCCCACTGCGCTCATAATTTAACAGCCACCAAGGCCACAGGGCCATAATAGTCCAAGAGCCATGGCTTTAAGTCCGCCGATGAACTGTGGGCCACATTTTCCGACTGACGCTTAAATTATGCAAGTTAATTTGCAGCTGCCTGAAAATGATGACAAGAAATACCGCACACACACGCCTACACACAGGGCACAACAGGGCAGGAGTTCTGGCTCCTGGCAGCCTAACAAGAGTTATTTCCCACAGACCGGAAGTGAAGTCGACATAAATTGTGGTTAGAGCTAGTCTAGCCCATCTACATCTACACTACCACCTTCGCCTGCTTCCACCCGAAAGCCACGTTGGCCATTTAATACATTGCGACAGCTATTCTGGACGGGCTTTTTCCTTTCGAGGTAAGAAAACCACCCACTTCTTGGTGTGGAAACTTACTAGCAGAAGTTGGAATTAAAAATCAGATTGGTTGCGTAACTATTTTGACGTTTTAGTCGGACGGGTTAGCTTGGGGTGTTAAATGCAGGAACATTTTTAAACGTAATTGAAAATTTGAATAATCAGTTAAGATTAAAGTAATTATTTCCCATTAGTAAAAGAGTTATTAATATATCAAAAAAGGGTTATTTTCTGAGTTATAAAATTCTTAAAAATATTCCCAAAACCAAACCAGTAAGCAAGGTTTAAAGCATCTTCTTTAATAAGTATGAGAGTACGACTTTATTTCCTGATATTGATTGATTTTGGTTTTCATTTTGCACTCAATCGAACTGAAAATAAAAGAGTGAAAATTCGATGAACTAAGGAATTTTCCAGCTTGCCTCTCTTGATATTTTCCAGGACTTTAGTAGACTGTCGGAAGCAAATCATTTCATGGTAAAAGCGCCTTAGCAGAGCAAAAGGGGGGTCGGGAGGAAAACCCAACTCGTTGTCATGTTTTGTTATTTGTCTGTGGCCGTTTTCATTTCATTTACAGTTGCAGTTGAAGTGGCGGTATGAGGCCTGCACAAGAGGTCCAGGCTGCTTGATTTCCCCAGGTGCCATACACACGGTGGCCAAAAGGATCCCACTTACCAGAAACCACGTTCAGCTCAGAGCCTGCATCTCGTATATTTTCATATTTTTGTCTGACCCATTCGGGCTTTTTGTGCCTTTTCCCCCAGAAAAAACCTCATTTCCCACAGATAACACACATCACAACCAGAAAAGCTGGAAAAATAGAGCTGGAATACGCCTCTGATTATGAATTGGATATGAATCCGATTTGTTGGCGAATTTTGAGCTTACTTTTTCGTTTTCCTGATTACAAGGCAGGATTGAAAATCAAAAAATAAAATTCAAAATCATGCTGGGAGTCTGTAATTTTTTAATAATTGAAGGAAAGTTTGAAACTTTTTTGCATTAGGACTTTATTTTAACTTTTCAAAACTGTACAACTTTTTATAAATTATAAAAATAAACGTTGAAAAGTTTGCTTTTTGCTTCTTCTGGATAATGAACTTGGGTTGTCGATGTCCGGTATCGGGTGCCATTTTTTATCTTCCTCCATTTCATCCTCATATTCATTTTTTATATTCTTTTTGTTCGTTCTAAAATCTATCACTGGATTGTCCGGTATAGGTGGTAGACCATTTAATCTATCATACGGTCCAAGTGCATAATCCGCTTCGGGGTCCTCCGTTGAGCTTTCCGTTGTAGATGGCAATTCTGTACTTTCCTTATTTATTCCTTTCTTCCTAATATGTGGGTTGTCCGGAATCGGGGGTAAATCACCATTTGGATTATATTTCGGAAGTGAAATTGTAGTGCCCCTGTTTTTTTCATTGTCATCATCATAATCATCTGCGTGATCAACAAAGGCTGATCCGCCATCGCAGCTCTTAACTCTCTCACTCTTGTGGCAAAGGTTTTTATATTCTTTATTCGATCCTTTTCTACAGTGTGTAGCCGCATAATCCCTGCTTATCTCGTAGACGGGATTATGATCATCCTCGCACTGACTCACTCCACAATTGTAGACGCACTTCAGCAGCTGGTGGACAAGTGCTGGATGAATGTATTCCACAATGGCACAGCCAATACGATCTGCCCGATCTCTCAGTACCTGGAAATAGTTTTGGGAAAGTTCCCTGAACAGAATCGTTGATTATATTTCGATATTCTAACTTAAGTATAGAGACAGAACTCACTGATCGTCATCCTTCTCGGAGAAAAATAGTTCAACGACTTCGTCTTTGCTTTCCGGATCAAACCAATAATCAAGCTGAGTCCTTAGGGCATCCATTTTCGTGGTCATACAATAGTACTTGATCAGGGAGTAACTGACTTCTGCATGATGATACCTCCCGGTCATGACGCAAGAATCTCTTATAGGCTGACATCGACGTACCAGAGCATCAGCCACTTCGGCCAGTTCCGAGTCCCATTGAATCGTTGGCATCCTTGCCGCCTTCGCATGATCACCCATTCCGCCGGCAAACTTATTCCGATACTCATTGTGTTTGTCCACGATCAGGTGTTCTATTTCCTTAGTTATTTTCACCATAGCTGTGGCTCTGTGCGGACAAGTTGCTTGAAGTTTCTGAAAATATATAGTTCTGAGTAGACATTTTTAAAAAATATAATCAAAAGCTCACCCTATTATCCGTGCAAAGTGGATGTTTTTGCTTGCAAAGATACTTTTTGCACCATTTATTTGCAGTCTCAGAATCAAAAATAGCCAACATTAAGGACAGCAGCCATATCCACTTTGTCATGGCATAGCATTTTCTGAACGTTGTTTGTTAAGTTTATAAAAACAATTTTATTTTGTATTAATTTTTAATGGTTAATTTTTGGGTTAAACCATAATCTGTGACTAATTTAAAAGTCTTTTCTTTGTACTTAAGGGAATTCTATTAAAGATTTTTAGTTAGTGCACCAACAGATCTTAAATGAACTGCCGTTCTGCAACTTAAAGGTTCCCTTTCATCAACTACATTTGCTTCAACTTAAATTGAAAACAATTTGCATAGCTTTTGCCAGAGGAAAAAACGCTAATTGATTCAGGAAGTTACTTAAGTGGCTGTCTGATTACAGCATTTAGTCTTTCAATAAGGAAATTAAAAGAGCAAACTCTTTTCCATTCTTCATTTGGATTGTCTCGTGAACTTTTAGCACAATGCTCTTCATTCATCGGTAAGGGAGTGACATTCCCTGTTTAGTTGCCGTGAAATAATAAATCCAATAATACACGCATTAGCCGCACCACATTCGCTGCTTAACGGAGGCTTAGCGAAAATAAAGACAGACTCCCCAGTCTTTTCAGTTTACTCCACTTTTTTGTGTCTATTTACCGCGCTGTGTTTTCCTGTGTCTATAAGCCACTCAACTAAAAGACTAATCCACTTACTGGTAGTAGAATCGAAGTAGGAGGAGAAACATTCAGCCAGCCAAAAGAAGCTGGCTTTTAAGTTGAAATGTGAAAGAATAAACAAGGTAAATTGTATACAGCGTTGGTCTGATTTTAAGGCCCTAATCAAATATTCTAAAAATGTTCTGTAGTTGACTTTTTTCCCCTTAGGTGCATTCTAAAACCAACTTTCATTTGCTAGCTGTCAAACAATTTTTCTATCTTCAACGAGCTTTCCTTTCCTTTTATTTCGTAACAAAGATATGCCAGCAAAAAGTTAAATTAATTAAACTAATTGACTTTGAAATGTAACGAAACGGTTACGCGTTGTGACACAGTGAAAGGCAAAAACAAGAGCAGAGTTTGAAAATGTGCAGATGTCGCTTCATACATTTCGCCCCCACATTTTCATTTTCAAAGGCAAAAAATGCGTTAACAGTTTGCAAGCAAATGAAATGAGTTATCAGAGATGGCCATGTAAACAAAAACCCGGCAGTGGTAGTAACTTTCATAGATATGGTAAAAATACATGTTTGTTTTGCCTATGTAAGTTTTATGGTAATTGAATAAAAATTTATTGAGTGTAAAATGTTATGAAATCGATCGGTTAAAGTTCAATTTTAAATGGGAAAATACAGTATTTCTCCTATAAAAATTTAGTTAGAAGTGCAAGTCAGTTCAAGCTTAACTTGACCCATAAACATTCCCAAAGGTTGGTTTTACATTTTATAAATCAATTAAAGTGTTTAGCGACATTAATAGCATGTAGTTATGTTTTTGTAATTTGTAGTTTTTCACATTTATTCATAATAAATGTGCATTTTTGAATGGCTCCAATCAAAACATAATATTTAGCAAGCAAATTGGCAGCGTAGCAACATGTTTGCGCCCCTCCAGAGATTTTACCTTCCAATTAGTTGGCTGAATATGGATGCACCGAATTGTCATATCGATTGCCATATTCACATATTTGGATGGCTGATGACTCGCATATTTCCTCCATCATCATCATCGCCTCCTCCCGCTGGAATCCGCATTAATTACAAGCCACCTCCCCGAAAATTGCCTGTGGGGAAATCAGCAACGCAAATTGTCGCAGGCAAAAAGTAATGAAAACCATGGAAGAAAGGAAAACCCAAATTGAATTTCAGGAGCAGTTGCCGCAAAAATGCTTTTAATGCGAAACCTGAATACGTTGAAGTATATGGGGTGGGATGAGTGGCCAAAGGAGCGTGTATCATAATTAATGTTAATTGCCTGATTGAATGGTATATGCCTTACCATACCGTACCATACTATATGCCAATGACAATACCAATTTCCAGCGGCTCATTGAAACTCCACTTTGACGCGCCATTATTTCGTTTCCGTTTCAATATTAAGTCGCCGGATTGACAGCTTCCTTTTCGGTCAATTTCAGGTGGAAATTTTTCAGTGAAACATATGAAAAAGTGTTTACTCATTGCTGGCGGCTGAGACTTTAATTGGACTTTTATAAAGGATACTTGAAATGAAGTCAATAAAGATTTATTGGCCAGGAAAATAACCTATTGAGTTGTTACTAAAAATTTTCAATAAATATTTTCTCTTTTTATATTCGTTTTTAATAAGCTCATTACCAGGAAAGGTAACTTATTGCCTTTTTGTTTAATTTTGAAATTTTAATCATATTTATTAGTCATTTAATTCCATTTAAAATAAGTTTGTAACTAAATAGGATTTTGGGATTATTGTAAGAGGTATTTTCACACATCATATATATCTAAATTATGTTCACATTAACTTAAATTTGTTATTCATGGTAAAAAGCTTAGAATATAAAATGGGTTTGCAAGTCCCAAAAGCTATTAAAATCGCATGCATTCAAAATGATCAAGGCTAGTTCACATAAAAGCAGCTTAAACGAGCAAAAAACTTGAAAATCTTATACATCTTTGAGTCTTAGTTGACCATTATTTTTTTTCAGGGCCTCGAAGGTCGCTGCTCTATGGGGAAAAACCGAAAACATGAAGAAAAGATGCAATGTGTGGCACGTATGAAAGATAAGGCAGCAGCATCATTATGCAAAAACAAAAGGTACTGGAAACTAAATTGTGCTTCACGGAGACCATTAAATGCGGTGCCATGTTGTGGGAAAATATATACATAGAAGTATTCATCACAGGAATGTGTGCTTATGTGTATGATGTAATGTTTGACGTGTCAGTGCACCTGTACACTATGTGCTAATTACTTATTTATAACGCTCAAATTACACGACGACGACACAACGTACCTGCCAGCCAGCTCAGTGCAAACTCACTGCATACTTTGCGGCAGCCCAGCGGCAAAATGTTCTTCACTTCAAGTGCAGGCTTCTGCCGGATTTTGAGACGGTGGATTTGAGCTGATGGGGTTGTGTTTTGGGTTGGCTAACTCCCCGCAGGTTAAGAGGACCAGGCATTTTTGCCAGCTCTGCAGACAGCAATCAATCTGGTCGAGCTGCACTCGCATCCATTCGCATCAGTGGATCAGAATCAGAGCCAATCAGTTCCCAATTGGCCGTGTAATGTGGCTCTCTCTTTTTTTTTAACCTTTTTTTGATAGTTTACCTCGAGTTTTTAACTCTTTTTCGTTTGTGCAGTGTGGCTACGTGAGCATTTTACTCAAGTACCTTTGAGTGTTTAAGCAAATTTTGTGAAAGAGTTTGTTTGCCCGAAAGTCCTGCGTAGGGATATTTACACAATTTTCTGCCTTTTAAGCAACTAGATGTGTATATATACATGTGGCCTAGTCGGTTGGAAGGATTTTGTGATGAGATTTAATTCAAGGGAAGTTAGAAACTGTGACAGCTGAGTGAAAAACAGTTTAGCCACAATGAGGCTGACATTTCTTTGACGCTTTTTGGATAAACCAACTGTCTGTCTAGTTAAGCCCAACTTGCCACTTGCAAAACATTCAGGTGTGAAAAATACCCATCATCCCATTCGTTTTCCAACTTTTGCGTTGTTTTTCCCTGTTTTCTGTCACTTTCAGTGTCTGGCATATCAGGTACTGCAGCAGGCAAGTTTCGAGAGTTCAGATTTGCATTGCCATTGCAATTGGTATTAAAAAACAATACACTTTACTTATGCAACTGACAGGCGTCATTTAAGCATTGTTCGAAAAATGTTTGCATTGTTTTTTCAGTTTTAATTGACTAATGGCTCTTCAATAGACACTACAATGAGTATATTCAGCTGCTGTATTGGAAGTTAAAAAGCTGTTTTTGTTAAATAGTTCCACCAGACTGGTTGACTTTAAAGCTTTTTAGTTCTACCTTAAGGATCCCAGAAATTACCAAATTTTTCAAGCCACCACAGTGCAAATCAAACGTAGGACAAGAGCCTTTGGCTCTCCATCTTTACATACCTTTTCACCTTGGCTTGTCATGTGAAATATTTGCCCAGGTGTTGAATCTCCGTCTCCATGCATTTGCTCGTTTCTCCTCTAGTTCCCAGGAATTTCACTTTCACAGCAGACACCGACATCGTCTCCGGTAGTCCCAGCGCCGAATGCAATGCATTTTCCGGATTTTCCTCATTCTTTTTTTGGTGCAGTGTGGGCGCCAAGAAGAGGCAAAATTGCATTGCACAACAGGCCCAGAAAACAGCAGTGAACAGCAGTAAGAACCTAGAGCCGGGAAATTTATTGCCCTCGCTGCCAAAGTGAAACATAAAACGACGTCATTAAGTTATGTCGGCGCTCAGGACTTGGGCAAAAACTGGCAGTTTGGAGTTGTGGGAAAAGGGTTTAAAAATCATGCTGTTGTTTTTGCTGAATTTTCACCTTAAAATACACGTTTCTTAGCCATTTTTACTCACTTTTTCTACGGTGTTAAATGAATTCAACGAAGTGCAAGCAGATTTGATGCGTTGATTTTGGAAAATTGAGTTAAATTTGGTCTTTAAATTATGTTGATAAAGTGGGTTATGGTTAAGAAGACTTGGATTGAGTTGCTTGAACATTTTCATGGCATTTGGAGGAAAAATGTATTTTTAATGATAAACTTTTTAAAGGAATCTAATATATTGTCAAAAGAGCGGAACTTAAAAATATATACTTCAAATAGTGTCATCATGAGTTTACCTTTTTTTGTTGTGTTTTTTCAAGGATTTGATTTTCCTTTTTTATACTTTCTACACTTTTATAAAACATAATATCTATTTTGCCATACATATCATAACAAACTTTTATTTTTCCATCAAAGTTTTTCCTGCGAATGCCCCGAATATTTTGCATAGTCGAAATAATTTCCATTTTGAATATAAATAAAAACACAAACTTTGAGTTAAAAAGCGGGCCAGAGAACGACGAATTGAAATTTGCAAGCAATTAAAGCAGGTA